AGCCTAGGGTTTCCCCAGGCCCAGTGGGGTGGCGAAAGGAGGTAGGGAAGAGGCAGGATGGTAATAATTACAAACGTCTTCATAATAATGACACGTGGTCACCTCGGCTGAGAACTCTGTTCTTTTCCAAAGTGCTTCATCTCTTTCTCTCATTAAGGGGTCTCCCACACCCAGGGAGGCAAGAATGATAAAGTGTTATCTCCATTTTTACAGAAGGGGAACTGAGGCCCAATAGATTGGGAAGATTTTCCCACAGCCACACAAAGCCAAGGACAGGGCTGGAATGAGAATTTATGTCTGTAATCCCTGAGTTCCACTCCATGCAGCACCATCCACTCCCAGAACCAGCTGGAGGGCTCCTCCTGGGGGCTCTGGAGCTTGAGTCTGGAGCCTCAACTGCACCTCACAGATAACAAGGACTAAGGGATAAGAAAAGAAAGAATTCTGGCCTGGGATCCAGGACACACATTCCAATTCTTGTTCCACAACAAACCAAGTCAGAACAACCCAGAGATGAGGAGTAGGCAAGCCCCCTCCCTCCTGATGCTGGTGTCCAGGGGTCTCCTACTCAGGGAGGCACAGCCCCAGGTGCCTTCTGATAATATGGAGAGAAGGGAAAGGAATGAACTTCTGTTAGGCACCCATGACACACTGGGTCCTTAAATCCATCATCTCTAGTCCTCATAGCAGCTCAGAGACTCAGAATGGGCACCCCTTAATGTTACAGGTGAGGAAATGGATCAGAAAAGGTAAAAGATCTGACTGACGGTGTAGAGTGAGGAAGTGGTGGGACTTGAAACCAGGACTCTGTGATGCCAAAGCCCACCCAGTCTCCATGGAGATGTGAGGGGCATCTCCTCTAAAGAGTGTCCGACTTCTCATGCTGACTTCAGCTGGAAAGAGCTCTGATGACTTGGTGGCAACATCATCGTACCTGCTTCCTTCCAGGTGTCAGTCTCAGAACAGGCTCAATTAGTCCAGGAGGGCAGCATGCTGGCTAGGCAGACCTGAGTTTGAATCTTTCCCTACTGCTTACTAATGATGTGTCCCTGGGGAAGTCATTGAGACCCTCTGTGACTCAGTTTTCTCATCAGTTCAGTGAGGGGTTGGGTTTAGGGCATCAGTTTTTAGACCGAGAGGCACTTTAGATGCACTCTGGAGATTGTGAAAATACCTTTGCCTGCGCTCCTCCCCAAGAGTCCTATTTACTTGGTCAGGGATGGGGCTCTGCATCAATGTTATTTAAAGTTCTCAAGAGATTCTAATGTGCTGCCAAGTTGAGAAGCTCAGTTTCTGTGCCCTTCAAGGACCAGCCTTTCCATATATAACATTCCACGTGGATCCATGGGCCCTGAGATCCTGTTTAGCCAAGAATCAGTTGGGCAACCCTTCCCATTCCAGCCTGGACCTAGGCCCCTAACCACCACTTAGCAGAAGGACTGGGCGGCAGCACCACGGACAGCAGCCCGCTCCCGTCAACCAGTCCCAGCTCTACTTCTGGAAGTCAGGGCTTGAACCAGCTGTAGGGGAGGGAGAATCTAAACCCAGTTCCTGTCCTTCCCCTCCTCTTCCCTCCCCTGCTCCTGTGTCTGAGTCTTCCCTCTCTCTCTCTCCCACCTATCTACTTCTACTCCAAGCAGCCCCTCCTCCTACCTCTAAGGCAGGATATATGTGGGCTTTGACATCAGATCCACGTGGGTTTGAAACCTGCCGCTCTTCTGCACCAGGTGAACTTGTCAAGGTACTGTCCTTGGTGCTGAGCATAGAAATCTGAGTTCTCACAGTGATCCACGAGTTTAGTAGTATTCTTACCCGTCTCACTAATGAGGAAATGGAAACACTAAGAGGTTCATTACTTAACTTCACTCAGCCTCCATTTCCTCCTCTTTAAAGTGAAAATATTAAAAGCTTATCTGAAGGCCTTGTTTTGTAAATTCTATCACATACAAAAAGGGCTTATATCATAGTATCTAGTACAAAGTTGTTATTTAATAAATGGAAACTATCTTTATCAGTTATTGAATAACGATACATAATTCATAATGGATTTCATTATTAATTCATGTTTGCACCCTTCACTGTGCATAGCAGTCTCCTCAGCTGTGAAATAGGAACGGGGCAGGGGTGTGCTGGAGTCAGCTCATACCAGCTCATGAGAGCCACACTTTGATTTTCAGGAGTTTTGTGGGCCAGTTGATATCATGTTGGTAGCTTGAAACTGGGCCATGGTGAGAATATTTACACCATGGAAATCAGCAAACATTACAAAGCAGGGCACTCCTCCCCACCCCTTCACCCCTCAGAGCTGACTCACCAACAAACCACTGCATCTATGTCACAGAGCTGGTGTGAAGTCTGCAGGAGAGAATGGACATGATGGGGCACTGTGAAATATAAACTGCTGAACCTGTAGAACCCCCCCTCGAAGTGGTCCCACAGTAGCTACAAGCCTGGCACCCTTTTGTCGGCCAATTCTGGGGAGCTGCTGACTTCTAAAGAAGGTGGGAGGGCGTGTGTTGCCCAAGGAAGCCATTCCCCTGGGGCCTGGGAAACCAGTGGTGAATCACTGACCCTTTACCATTCCCACGTGTCGGCATTAACTGTAATGGCTGCAATAAAGAATCCTGGATTGGGGAAATGATTCCATCATCCCCTCGGGAGTCTCTGAGATGCAGCCAGGGAGAGAGAGAGCTCAGCCATGTCTCTGGGGAGTCACTCAGCCCTGCATTGTGCTTTGCCCAGGGAGTGGGAGGGACATGCGGGGGGAGTGACAGGGAGACCCTCTCTCATAACAATTACAACAGCCACTAGTTATTGTGCACCCACCATGAGCCTGATGCTTTACGTATCTTCTCCCATTTCAGCACCACTGTGAGGGAGTCATAATTGTGCCATTGTGTACTGGCGTGCTGTGCCTCTTGAGACGACAACAGTAACCTGCACTTATTGGGCTCTTGGCATGGTCCAGGCACTGTCCTCGGTGCTGGACGTGGAAACTGAATTCTCAAAATGATCTCAGGAGATTTGTAATACTACCACCCTCATTTCACAAAATGAGGAGATTGAAGCACAAATGGGTTCATGATAGATCCAAGGTCAAACTTCTAATAAGTGGCAGTGCCATCGCTGGTTGTGACTCAGTGCACCAGACCACTGTCCCCAAAGTCACTATACTTGTGCTGACACTGCTTCCTAGAAGGGACTTGGCATCCCAGAGTCCCGGGTTCAAATGCCACCACTTCCTTACTCTGTGCCTTCAGTGAAATCTTTTCCCCTGTCTGACTTGATTCCTCCTTTATAATATTAGGTGGGGGGACCCACTCTGCATCTCTGAGATACTATGAGGATTAGAGATGATGGATTTAAGGGGCTGGTGAAGCCAGTGTGTCATGAGTGCTCAATAGGACATAATTCCTTTCCCTTTTCTCTGTACCAGCAAGAGGCACCTGGGGCTGTGTCCTCTCTGAGTAGGAGACCCCTGGGCACCAGCATCCAGAGGGAAGGGACTTGCCCGCCCCTCTTCCTCAGCTTCTCTGGGTAACTCTGACATGGTTGACATGGAGCTGGAGTGGCCAAAGAGACAGGCGCATTGCAGGGACGTTTTAGGAGACTGTGGCTGGGAGGGGGAACCTGGAGAGGGAAATGAGAAATGCAAAAGAGTGAAAAATAAATACATGTGTCTGTCTGGAATGATAGAGGGCCCCAGGCTGGAGGCGGGAGAGGCGGGCGGCAGGCTGGGCTTAGCAGAATTGCTGCAGTAGCACTTCCAGATTCTCACTCATTAACCAGGCAGTGAACTGGCCTCACCTCCCAGCATGCAGGCCTCCTGGCCCAGGGAGCCCAGCCCAGCCCAGCCCCAGGAGGGGCCTGCCTGGCCCCACCGGCAGGCACCCAGCAGAGGGCATCTCCCTGAGGTGGGGTCTCCATCTCCTCCCCTTCGGGTCATATCCTGAACCCCCAAGACTCACTCTTGAGTCTTCCACCTCACCCTCTTCTTTCTGGAAAGGTTTGGATGGACTCAATGGCTTTGTTGGCCCCTCCACCTGACCCTCCCCCACCCTTACCCCCACCCCCACTTGGTCTAGCCTCACGTCCCAAGCCCTGCTTTCGTCAAATTGAACATGATGTCAAATTAGAGCCATCTCTGGGACGGACCGAAAGAAGCTCCCAGTTTAATGAGGCAGCGTCGAAAATCAATAACTTAATTGCTGCTGTTTGATGGACTTTTATCCAATTTATACTCTACCCAGCAGTCTACGTGCAGAGCATGAGGAGAAGTGTGTGTGTCTGTGGGTGGGCCGTCTGGGCACCCAGGGGGAGGGGCGAGGAGGGCACCAGGGCCCGCAGCCAACCACTTTCCAAAGGGAAGGCTGGGTACTGCCCTCTCCTGCCAGGGGCCAAGAGACACAGGCCTCTGACCCCCGATGAACTGGTCTGTCCCTCTGGGCTGTCCCCTACCGCCATGATGCAGGGAGAGGAGGCAGAAGTCCCTTGAAGAATCAGTAGGAGCTGGAGTGGGTAGAACGGCCCCTGCATTGGGAGTCAGGTCCTGGTTTCCAATCCTGGCTCCAACTGACTGTGATGACTGTAACTGGCAATAATGATTGTTGGCATATTGAGAAACTTCTCTGAACTGCTCTGTGCTGGGAGTTTAGAATTCTTCCCCTCAACCTAATGAACCAAGCACTAGGATTCAACTGGCTTTGCTGAAGAGGTAACAGACTCAGAGAGGCTGTCTTTCGTTGCCAGAGTCCTACAGCTGGGAACCACCCCAAGGGGACTTGAATCCAGATCTGACTCCATGGTCACATTTGCGCCACTAAAAAGGTCTCAAAACAGGAAGAGGGTTGGGGCTCAGAGTGGGGATGGGGACCGTGAGGGGCTGTCTTCGATGGCCTCCCGCAGGTCTCCCCTCCCAGCTTCCCTGGGGTGAGGCGAAGTGGGGGAACGAGCTCGGCAGCCCCAGATGACCCCTGTCTCGCTTGGTCCCCCGGGCCCAGGCACGTCGGTGATGCAGGTGATGGCCTCGGATGCGGATGACCCCACGTACGGCAGCAGCGCTCGGCTGGTGTACAGCATGCTGGACGGCGAGCACCACTTCACCGTGGACCCCAAGACCGGTGAGGGGCGGGGCGGGGCCAGAGGCGGGGTCAGGGGCGGGGCGGGGCGAGGACCATCCCAGACGTCTGCTCTGAGCCTTCTGTCCCAGCAGCTGTGAGGAGAGCACAGAGGGCACCCTGTGCACAGCAGGAGTCCAGGGTCGCAGAGAGGGAGGGGCAGCCAGGCGGGAAGAGGGAAGGACTGAGGAACAGAAAAGGAATGGGATGGGGGGGTTCTTCCAAAACTGGAAGAGCAACAGAAAGGCAGGAGGCAGCCGCTGTGGGTGCTGTGAGGCCCTAAAAGGACCTCAAAGGTCCGAACTAAGTGGCTTGTCCTTGGAGCTAAGTTGAAGCAGGCGTGTGAGCTCTTCCGGGGTCACAAGTGTAGTTTGGGGGAGGGAGGACGGCTGGTTTCAGCAGTTTTGAGAGCTCTGCCCCCGTGGCAGTTGTTAAGGACCTGATGGAAAAACACAGGCATCTTTAAGGAAGGGTGTTTAAGACACAGAGACCTTTAAGGAAGAGTGGCTTCTTTCTTGCTTATCCCCCCAACACCATCAAACGATGGTGCAGCACGGCCACCCGCTGTCCCCCACTTCACTCACTGTGACATTAGAACCTGACTAATCTCTGAGAAGCCTTGGGGGAGTGTGAGGAGGACAGGATGAGAAGACTGAAGACCAGAGAGGTGAAGTGACTCACTTGAGGTCACACAGCTGGGAGTGGCTGCTGATTCCGGCAGGGTGCTCTGACTGCTTCTGGGATAGGAGGGGCCTGGCTTGGGTGAAGGCAGGGAATGAGATGTCAGACAGCACAGAATGTTTATCAAATGCCATTGTGAGGCTCACAGCCCTGTGGGGCAGGAGGACAGGCAGATATGTGGGGATTTGGATGCAAGACTTCTTGGATGCAGTAGCAGCAATCTAAAAAGGATAAGAAAGTGTCTGCGGGGTGCAGTGGCTCACCCCTGTGATCCCAAGACTTTGGGAGGCCAAGGTGGAAGGATTGCTTGAGTTCAGGAGTTTGAGACCAGCCTGGGTAACACAGAGAAGACCCCATCTCTACAAAAAGAAAAAATTAGCTAGGCATAGTGACAGGTGCCTGTAGTCCCAGCTACTCAGGGGGCTGAGCTGGAATGATTGCCTGAGCCCAGGAGGTCGATGCTGCAATGAGCTATGATGGCACCATCACACTCCAGCCTGAGCAACAGAGCAAGATCCTGTCAAGAAGGAGGAGGAGGAGGAGGAGGAGGAGGAGGAAGGTGTTGCCAGAGCAAGATTTCAGAGAAGGGCATTCCGGGTAGAGGAGGAGGAGGAGGAGGAGGAAGAAAGTGTTGCCAGAGCAAGATTTCAGAGAAGGGCATTCCAGGTAGAGGGTATGGTGCAGGCCAAAGTTGGGAGAAGCAGAACAGCTTGGAGGCATGAGGGGAATTGTAAGCAGCTCATGCTTGGGCAATCAGGTTTGTTGAGAGGTGACATCGAGAGGGTGGCAGGGGCCTGGCTGTGCTGGTACGAGCCAGACTAAGGAGCTTGCATTTCATTCTAAGGACAAAGTTGGGAAGTAGGGTTGGGGGGAGTTGATGGATTTGGGTTTTGGGTTTTTCTTTGTGTGTTTCTTTTGTCTGGGGGAGAAGGGAGAGGATTCCAATCCATAAGCACAGTTATAATTGTATTCTCTCACACAAAGTATCTTCGTTATTTTTTTTTTCTCCCCACAAAAGTAATACATTTTAGAAAACATTCAAACATTAAAGAAATGCTAAAAAGAAAGAAAAAGAAAGTGCTTCCCACTCTATCCCCAGTAATTGCAGCCCCAAAGGTAGCCACTTGGTGTATATATCCTATGAGATCTTAGACTCATTCACTCGAAAATATTGTCATGTTTAATAGATAATACATCTCAAGGTTCAAAATTCAAAAAGTCCAAACAGGCATTTAGTAGCAATTCTTCACCCCATCCAGTCCCCCAGACACCCAGTCTGTATCCCCAAGGCAGCCAATGTAATTTTCTCATGCATCTTCCAGAGCTATTCTGTACATGTACAAGAAAATAAAGTACATGTATTTGTTTTATTTTTTTACATGAATGGTAGCTATAAACATACTATACACACGGCTTGCCTTTTTCACTTGACGATACATCTTGAAGATTATTCCATATCAGTACATAAAGAGCTTCCTCATTCTCTTATTTAATGGGTGTTATGGATACACTAAAATTTATTTCACCAGTCCCCTACCGGTGGACACTTATGCTGTTTCCAATCTTTTGCTACAACGAACAATGCTACAGTGAATAACCTCACACATACATCATTTTGTGCTTGTGTGAGTATATCTGCAGGATAATTTTCAGGAAGTGGAGAAGCTGGGTCAAAGGGCATATGCATTTGGAATCTCGATAGATAATGCCGAAATGTACCAGACGACACTCCCGTGAGTCACGTGTGAGAGTGCCAGTTTCCCCTCCTCGTCACCGACAGTGCAGGTTCATTGATGACTTCTAAGCAAGGAAATGACATGCTCTGGTTTTCATTTTAACAAGATCCCTTGGGCTGCTGCTACAGAGCTTGGCTCAGAGGCAGGAATTGGAGGCAGGGAGGCCCTAGAGCCTAGGATGCCCAGCATAGAGTCCCAAAGGGCAAAAACCAAAAGCCTGTGCCCTTTCTTGACACTCGATCAAGACTCCTTAACCTACCTGTCTAGCTAGGAGGCCAGGGATGATGAAGAATTCGTAGGAGGATTGATTGAGATGCCAAGAAGAGAGAATGGGGGTGGCAGTAAGATCCTGCAAAGGACAAACCTTTGGGGCCAACACGAATCTGCAGGACTAGGTTGAGGGAGGAGGCAGAGTTTCTTTCCACGTAGTAGGATTTATTCATCTAGGCAAGGGGTACCACCAACAGAAACAAGAGGAGTGTAAATTAAGAAAGCTACTAGAGCAGAGGAATGAGTGAATATGCCCTGGAATCTGAGGCAGAGCTAAATAATTCAGCTTTAACCATATTGGCTTTAAGATGAGAGAAAACAGGGAAAGAAACACCTAGAACTTCTAGTAGGCCATGTGAAATACAGGTGTGGAGCTCCAAGAATGGTTGGGGCTCTTAAAGCTTCAGTTTCCCCATGTGCACAGGGGAGAGTCATACCCATCTCATGTGATGGTTGTGAGAATTCAATGGGACAGTTCACTCATTCATTCAACAATTATTTATTGAGTGCCTATTATGTGCCTGGTTCTGTTCTAGGCACTAGGAATGCAGTAGTAGGCAAATCTAAGGCTCTGCATTCATGGAACTTTTATTGAAGTAGAGAATATAGAAAATGAGCATGTACACATGTAACATAATGTAAAGCAGTGACGAGTGTGAGGGCAAAACCTAATGTAGAGGAAGGACTTAGATTAAGACATCACAGCCGGGCACCGTGGCTCATGCCTGTAATCCCAACACTTTGGGAGGCCAAAGCAGGTGGATCACTTGAGGTCAGGAGTTCGACACCAGCCTAGTCAACATGGTGAAACCCTATCTCTACTAAAATACAAAAATTAGCCGGGCTTGGTGGCATGTGCCTGTAATCCCAGCTACTGGGGAGGTTGAGGCAGGAGAATTGCCCGAACCCAGGAGGCAGAGGTTGCAGTGAGCTGAGATCGTGCCATTGCACTCCAGCCTGAGCGACAGAGCAAGACTCCATCTCAAAAAGAAAGGAAAGAGAAAGAAAAAAAGAAGACAGAAAGAAAGAAAGAAAGAGAGAGAGAGAAAGAGAGAGAGAAGGAAGGAAGGAAGGAAGGAAGGAAAGAAAGAAAGGAAGAAAGAAAGAAAGAAAGAAAGAAAGAAAGGAAGGAAGGAAGGAAGGAAGGAAGGAAGGAAGGAAGGAAGGAAGGAAGGAAGGAAGGAAAAAGAGAGAAAGAGAGAAAGAAATCACAACAGGCCTTTCTGGGGAAGTGACCTTGGGGCAGAGACCAAGTGCAGTGAAGGTATGAGCCATGCAGATTCCTGGGGACCAACAATGCAGGCCAAAGGAACAGGAAGTGTATAAAGTGCTCAGCCTGAGCCCTGGCACAAAAGGATAGTGATGGTGATGAGGAAGGCTTCATGCATTCAGCCTGAGGAAGTGGGGACCTTAGGGTTGATAAACCTTGGGGAGATAGGGGGAAGAAAGAACATAGAAATAAGAGAAGGACCAAGACTGAGTCTTGGGAGGTGGCAAGGCTGGGCAGATGAAGGATCAGAGAGTGGGGAGGACATGAGAGTGAGAAGGACAGCCAATTTCTAAGAAACAGCATCCCCCACTGCAGAGGGCCCAGAAGATGGTGACAACTGGGAGGCCACAGGGCCTGGGGGAGCAGGAACAGTTCCCAAGAGGTCAGAAAGTGAGGAGCAGGCAAGGCAGGTGAAGAAGTTCAAATGGGGTCCCTGCTCCAGAGTCCCTCAACTCTTCAGTCTGAAAGGGTCCTTTCTGGCACGTCCCAGGAAGAACCAGGTTTTGCCTCCCCTTGCCCACAGCCCCACGGCAAGAGCTGCCCTGGTGCCATTCCCAGCCCCAGCTCCATTTCCCCAGCCAGGAATATTCCGCTGATGCGGGTCTATATATAGCAGCTGCTGCGAGGTACAGTCTGTTCTCGCTGTGCAGATAGCAGGGAGCAGAGCCGGAACGGGGCCTGGGAGGAAGGTGTGAGGGAAGGGAGGAGGCGGGGCGCCGCGAGGCCCCAATGCCAGAGGAGGAATTAACTTGTGTGTTTTAAAGGCCAGGCCTGCCAGCAGGCCCCCCACAGGGCCAACAGGGATGGCATTTGCGGGCTAATGAGGCATCACATGGGCTCCAGGGCCCCTTTTGCAGCATTTGGAGGGGACGGCAGGGGTGGCCAGGACAACAGCTGGAACTGGGGACGATGGGTGAAGACAAGGCTGCGGGAGCTGAGGCCAGGTTATAATTACCAGCCCCCGCCCACCACCACCCCAGCAGGAATAGAAATATTCTGTGAGATTTCAAGATCTCTGCTGAAAATTCTCAACTGAGCCAGAGTCG